TGAATGATTGAAGTATATTATAATGTAATTAAAGAAATTAGCACACAATACAATGCAATATAAGATGTTTGTGTGCATTGCACTTCACTCCGTAAATTCTATCTTTGTTGGCTTATGTATTTAACTATAGTGTGGGCAATGCTTAGAATTTACAGCTTTCTATAGTTTTAGGGTAACGGTGATCTTGATTAAAACCTGTCAAAGAAGGGATTGAGTTACAACTCACCATCATATTGTTATTTGTTACATCTTCGTAAATAATGTGTGTGTGAGCGCGTGTGTGTGCTGAATCATTTGTTTCATACTGAACTAGCAATTTGATTGCAGGTTGAGTTATACACTGATTCTGAAACCTTTAAACTGATGGGTAAGGCCAAAAGTTTTGTTTGTTAAATATTTTGTTTTCGTGAAACTTCTGATATTGCTTGAGTTGTTTATATTTGGTTATGCTGGTTATTTTTCCAGGTAAAGAACATGCACTTGTTATATGTAATCATAAAAGTGATATCGATTGGCTTGTTGGATGGGTTCTGGCTCAGGTTCGATTTTCTACTTGATAACGTCCATCCTTATTAGTTATTACATGTCACTATTTCAACACCGAGAAAAGATTATATCTGTTATGATTAAGCAGGAGCACCAACGTGTCTTGTTTCTTCGATTCTCATAAGTAAATGAACATCAAACATTATTTTGAATTGGAATATCTGTATTAGATATTAGTGACATGCTAGATGAACACACTATGTTTTACATTTCTTGTGGGATTGAGTTAGGCATGTAGACGAATGCATAAACAGGTTAGTGGCAGTTGCACAAGCGATGCCCGCGTCAAACATAAGTTGCACTTACCCTTTCTTTTAGGTTACTCTTTGAAGTGTCTATTAACTGATTTCTTGATCTACTAATTACAGCGTTCAGGTTGCCTCGGTAGTTCATTCGCTGTTATGAAGAAATCGATGAAGGTCCTTCCTGTAAGTAGCAAACATTAACTTGTTATAGTATTATAGCTGAAGCCTTCACTTTTGTCTCGGATCCATCTTCCTTTTCATGGTTACGTGATGCATATTTCAAGTTTTGGTAACTTAAGTGATTTAAATTGTATTTCAATGTGCTGAGCAGTTGTGTATACAATGTAGAGAATTTGTCTTCTGCAAGTCAATTTGTATGCTTAATCTAATATTAGTTCTTTATCTATCTTCTGTTTGACCAGTGACCACTAGCCTGGCAATGTTATAACTTATAATTGTGATATCGTTCAAAAAAACAAACAAGTGAAACTAATGCTTTGAATTGTCGACACTAATAGTAAGTGGGGTTTTATGTTAATGAAGTCTTGTTTACTGACGGCTCTCACTTTGGAACATATTATTCTTTTAAGGGTTTTTTTTTTGGCCCCCATCCTTCCTATTCCCGACTATCCTTTCTGTCTTTTATTTGATTGTTTAAGTAAATCTCGATTTACTTAAAAAATTTGACCCATCAAGGACTATTATGTTTACCTAGCTATCTGTACTGTTCTATAGTAGTTCCCTATTATGCTCGTAGTTAGCATGCAGTAAGATATAAGTCAACAAGTGAACTATTGTTATCAATTTGTGAAGGTGATAGGATGGGCCATGTGGTTTTCCGAGCATCTCTTTCTTGAAAGAAGCTGGGCAACTGATGAAAGCACCTTAAAGGTATTCAGTTGCTAGTTACTATCAAACTTCTCTTATTTTATTCTGCTTAGCATATATTATAATCTTTCTTTTGCTTTTGTCCGCGTCTTAGTTAGCTGTCCTAATTTGAATGCTAATGCTAACGTGGGTAAAATCTATTGCAGTCAGGACTTCAACGGCTGAAGGATTTCCCTCAACCATTTTGGCTAGCTCTTTTTGTTGAGGGCACTCGCTTCACACATGCAAAACTTTTAGCTGCTCAAGAATACGCATCCTCAGTCGGGCTACCTGTTCCTAGGAACGTTTTGATTCCTCGTACTAAGGTTCCAATTTGACTTTCTCTTCTTGTGCTGCAATAAATTTGTTTGTCAAGATCATGATATGTTATTCTACCCAATGTTCGCTTATAAAATAAAATTGCAAAAAATTTCAGGGTTTCGTTGCTGCAGTAAGTCATATGCGCTCGTTTGTTCCGGTCATCTATGATATAACTGTTGCTATTCCCAAAACTTCTCCTCAACCGACCATGCTAAGACTCTTTAAGGGGCAATCTTCTGTGGTAAGTAAGCCTGCAACATTTTACATTTTCATCGAGAACTTGGTATTAGTGTCAAAATTGTGGCGAATTATATGCAAAATTGAAGGTCTAATTTTTACGTTTCCCCGTACATTTTAAGTACATACTAGTTAGGGACAAGCATATATTTGTAGCTTATATAGCAGGCAATACACTTCATCTTTTCCGATGGGCTGCAATGAAAGTTATCAAATGGAAGAAATGCAGAGTGGAAATTTTTCTCCCTAGATATTGATATGATTATTTAATTCCATGGAATAACATAATCTTGACACACATAACAAATGCTGATAATTTGATTCTATAGGTGCATGTCCACCTTAAGCGACACTTAATGAAAGATCTGCCGGATACTGATAGTGCTGTCGCTCAGTGGTGCAAGGATGCGTTTGTTGCCAAGGTACAACAATCGTATATTCCGATCTTCAACAGAAAGAAAATCACTAACTAGTAATTATCTCATGTAATGATTGTGGTACGATTGCATATCCAGGATAAGTTATTGGACAAGCATATAGCGGATAATTCCTTTGACGAGCAACTGCAAGACACTGGTCGACCCGTAAAGTCCCTTGTGGTAAATTCACATCAAGAAGTTCTTGTGTTTGTTTAGATTGCCTATCGAACAAAATTTATGAATCTGCTGATGTTGCAATAACAGGTTGTCTGTTCGTTGGCGATTTTGCTTATCTTGGGGGCATTGAAAGTCATCCAGCGCTTCTCGCTTCTCTCTACGTGGACAGGTGTCACAATCTCAGCCGTTGCTTTGGGAGTCATCACCGTTCTTATGCAGATCTTGATTCAGTTCTCACAGTCGGAGCGGTCAACTCCTCCCAAGGTGGGGCCTACTACGCCTAGGAATGGAGTAGAGTCCTAGGTTACTACTAGATAAGATAAAACCGAAAAGAAAAAAATCTGAAGTTTTCGTTATGGAGTTTTTAGCAGTTGATGCTTGCTTTTTGAAAATCAATCATCATATTTCGAGTTACATATATATATGCCTTGTCCAAAGTGTAGAACAAGGAAAAAAAGAAAAAAATAAATAAATATGTTGCATAAATTGTTTGAAGCCCTAATTTAGCTTGCATGGTAGATGATTTGAAACATAATGTTATGAATTACATACATATATTTAAAAACAAAATATATATAAACTTACTCTTAAGTACTAATTGGTTGATTAAGATCCACTTCTCATATGATTAATTTATTTTTTCTTCGATTTATCAATACCAACCTATGTAGCACGGAAACGGAAACGGACGATACATGGAAACGTGGAAACGACACGTTCGAAAAATAGGGATACGGGAACTTGGACAAACATGTAAATATTAAAAGTATAGGGATAAAATGTTTTAACTTTTGGAAAATTGCAAAATGACCCATAATGTGTCTGACAGGTGTTATCGAGTTTCCGGCACAAGTTGCAAAATTACCAACTACCTCAATTTTGAATGCACACAAATATTTCGTTGTACCAAATTTGAAAATTCACAAACTAAAGGGGTATTTCAACAATTAAGATAAATTCAAAATGGAACTTCGGGTATATTAAACGCACCCCACCCCGCCCATCTTCTTTTCTTTCTCTGTTACCCGTCTGCCCTAATCTCTGCGAAACTGAAGTGTGAAGAAAATCAGAAAAACCCCAATCTCAAAAAACCCTTCCTCCCTCTCTCTCTCTCTCTCTCTCTCTCTCTCTCTCTCTCTCTCTCTCTCTCTCTCCGGTTCTTTTCGATTTATTTGTTCAAGTACATAGATATATATACGTAGGTTCGTAGATTGTAAGTATCTGTGAGAAAATATACGATAATGAGTCGGAGCTTAGGAATTCCGGTGAAGCTTCTGCACGAGGCTTCAGGGCACATCGTGACGGTGGAGCTGAAGAGCGGCGAAGTGTACCGGGGAAGCATGATTGAGTGCGAGGATAACTGGAATTGTCAGCTCGAAAATATCACTTACACTGCTAAGGTTATCTTAATTACTGAATTAATTTTGGTGTAATTCTCCCACATTAACTGTGATTATTTACTGAATTAGGCGTCCTCTTTTTTTCTTTGTGAGCTAGCTTGTAGTTGTTTTAATTTTGGCTGCCATGATTTGTTAAACCCTAGATAATTGTGCTGGTAGAAGATGTAAATTGGAGGTAATTTGGTGTGAGATGATTTTGTAATTGATTTGTTTGGTAGTTGATGCAATTGTAGTTCGATACGTTCCGTAAACCCTAGGTGAATTTTGAGCCCTAGAGAAAGTGTAAAAATTTTAACCTGTTCCTTTTCTAATGTCTGATTATTTGTTGGGAGATTTTCATTTTATTGTGTTTACTTATTAAGACGTACTCTGAGGATACATGTTACCTTCGAATTGAATTAGTTTTTGTTTGTCTCGTCTTTTCTTCTTCCTCGTGTATACATTGCATATGCGTAAATTTAACTGGAGGGTTCGGTTGGTCCTCTACTTATGGTATCTATATCTGAACTCTGGGTGGATCTTAACTTTAAACAGTAGAAAAGATTATTAAGAGGTCACGCATATTTACTTAGCTTACCTCCCGGGATTGTAACATTACTCAGTAGGAGATAATTTTGAATTGTTTAGGCTTCTTTTTAAATCTTACTTATCCTTTGCACGAGAAAATGAATGCACATCTTTTGGTTGGAATACCTGCTGAAAATCTTAATTCTATAAAGCTCTCTCACTTTGCTGCAATGTTTTTTGGGATTTCTAGCTGTCTTTTTGAATATGCCCTTGTTTAATTATGTTTATTACCATTCGTTGCCACTTCGCTAGTAATAATATAAACAGTGAAGGCAGTGGCGGAGCAGGATAGGGCCAAGAGGGGGCCTTGACCCCCCACATTTCTTAAATTTCTATTAGTTTATATAGAAATATGAAAAATTTCGTGTATAATAGCATTAACGCCCCCCCCCCCCCCCCCCCCCCCCCCGGACTGTAAATCCTGGCTCCGCTAGTGAGTGGAGGAATATTTGCACTAATTCTTCTTGGCCTTTAAAGCAGTTGTAGTTTGTAACTTTTGCACATTCTCTTCCGTTCAAGATACATAAAAGACATTGCAATATAAACTTATGATTTTGATGACAATAAGAGTTAATAGTCAAAGTATATGCAAACAGTAAACGCCGGTGGTTAATTCTTTTTGACAGTGGAGGGGGTTCTTCGGAGCCTTTATTCAAGATAATGAGTATATAAATATCAGTAAACTCGATGCACCGAATTATACCTTCCTGGAGTATTCCTATCCTGCTTGCATTTTTGCTTTCATACATACTTCGAATTGCTAATCTGGTCAACTATATTACAGGATGGGAAGCTCTCACAACTCGAGCATGTTTTTATTAGAGGCAGCAAAGTGAGGTGTGTACTTATTTATTTCTCCTCGTGTTTCCTTGCTATTGCGTTAACTTATTTGGATTCTTACTAACGTACAATTTTACCAGGTTTATGGTGATTCCAGATATGCTTAAAAACGCTCCAATGTTTAAGCGTTTGGAAGCAAGGATCAAGGTACCATTCTCCACTCCATCATATTTATGATTTATCCAATTCGGCTTTTCACCGTATACATTTTTTTTCTCATCTATTTAATTTTCTACGTTCGAAGGGCAAGGGTTCATCACTTGGAGTTGGACGTGGGCGTGCTGTTGCCATGCGAGCTAGAGTAAGTTCTTCTTCCTCATATTCCATGTTCGAGGAATTGAAGATATATAGCTATCATATTTTTTTTATGCATGTAGTGAATTTTTCTGATTATTGAATTCCCTGCTGACAGGCTCAGGCTACTGGCCGTGGAGCTGCACCTGGTGGTAGGGGTGTTGTGCCACCTGTACGGAGATGATTATACGATTATATTACTCTGATCCATTCAACACTCTGTTTCTTTTTTCCCCTGCTTGCAGCAAGAATTTTAGTGTGTGTGATGACAACTTATTTCCAGTTATTACATATATACCTGGGAAGTGACTATTTTTTCTCGAACGGCTGTAACTGCAACTAGTATTAATATTTTGAATAGCTGAAGTATGCAATTTACAAAAAACTATGTACTACCTTATGCAGATTCAGTGGTGTTTTTCATCAGGGCATATTGAAAATCCCAGACCTCTTCAAAACATCTTCATCATTTTACTGCCAAAAGTTGTGTATATTTCATGTTTGCTGGATGAACTATTGCGTGATTAAATTAGAATTATAGTTTCAAAAAAAATAAGTTAGGTATTAACTAAATTTTAATTTTTTTAAAGTTATTTGTGTAGATCAATGGTGCATGATCGCCCAATGTGTTTCATCAGGTGTAACATCTCATAGACATAAATTAGTTAAAACCGAAATACTAAATACATTTCCTTTTGTTGAAAAATGTTGATAGGATTTACAAAATTGATAGGTAGGATTATATCGTTCATATTTTTCTTTGTATTGTGTAAAGTTTATAATTTATTAAGGGTAAATATCACTTAACTCCTCTTGGTTTGAGGTTTGTGCACACGACCCTCTTTTACTTTCAATATAAGTACATGACCCCCATAGTTTGAACTTTATACACATGACCCTCTTGTATTTTTAATATTAACACATAATCTCCTATGATATTTAACTTGGTAAATAATTCATTAGAAAGAACAAGTTTTTTAAAGTACAAGAGGGATTATGTGCTATATTAAAAGTACAAGGGGTATTGTGAAAAAAGTTCAAACCACAGGGGTTCAAGTGCTATTTACTCTTTTGGGCCTCAATTTTACACGCAACTGGGTTTTCTCACAAGCCGACCCAACAATAAACCGGGCCTTCGGTCCACTAAAAATTTACCGCGGCGCACATATCTTATCGTGCACCTCATAACACACTAATTCTCCCCCACTCCATAAACCCTGCACCCGCTTTGCTAATAAACCTCTCGTCCGCCACTCGAGCCACCTGCCGCCCCACTCACCTCTCCCCTCCCCCGCCGTTAGTCTTCCACCGTCGGCTGCTCTCATCTTTCAGCACCTCCGCCCCCAAATATTTCATACACCGCCGCAACCTTTCCCGCCGCCACAACTTTTCAGCTGCCCGCGACGGTGTTCAGTCTCTCCTCCCAGCCAAAAAAAGCGATTCTGAAGACGCGCCAAAATGGTAACAATATCACGTTAATTGTCGAATTGAGACTATTTGAATTTGAACACATGATTACTTCCAACGAACTTGATTGGGTTTTGCAATTTCATTCTCCATGCAAGATAATTTAATTTTTCGTTTTTTTCCTTTTGCGTTTAATTTAGGGCTCGACTGAGTGCACGACTGAGGTAGTAGAGGCGGTGCGTTTTGGGTTTTTTACTGATGAAGAAGCCAGAAAGCATAGTCTTGTTAAGATTACAAACCCAAATTTGGTTGACATACTTGGAAAGCCGTGTCCCGGTGGATTATACGATCCGGCGATGGGATCCCTTGACGAAAGATCTATGTAAATATGCTGATATTTCAATAGTTGATATTCTGCTAGTGCTTGTATGTTGTTCGAGCTTTCTGTTTTTCGATGCTTATTTGATTGACTTGTTTTTAACTTGTTGTGTATGCAGTTGTGAATCGTGTGGGCAACGTGCGTATCTATGCAACGGTCACTGTGGGCACATTGAACTCGTTTCCGTAGCCTATAACCCGTTGCTATTTAATACTTTGAGCAATATCTTGAACAAAACCTGTTTGTATTGCTTGCAATTCATATCGAGTGCTGAAGAGGTGAGTCTGTCTTTCTTCGCCCACTGTAATCTTCTGCTTCCGTGACATTGCAAATTTGTGATTTTACGACTTTTTATTTTTGTTATAGACGGAGAACTTTGTTTCTCAATTAGAACTGATTAGAAAGGGAGACCTCGCTGGGGCAAAAAAGTTGGCTTTGGGAAGCAGCTTTAAAGGCAAGAAGAAAATGGTGTTTGTCTCAACGGATGATGATACGGATGAACGGGAGGATAGTCAAGGGAGTCATATGTCACATTCAGCAGTATTATCAGATGGCGAAAATCACTTCAAGGATGATGAACAAGCATCTTGGAGTTCTGCTCAGCTCGCTGAAGCTATTTCGGTTATGAATGAATATTTGAGGAGAAAAGGAAAGAAGTGCATGAATTGTGAGATGAGATGTCCAAAGATCAGTAAGCCAACTTTTGGATGGTTTCAAGTGGTATGTTTAATATAAAGTTCATATGTGTTTTATTCATTATGGATGCCTCAAGTTTGCCTGGATGTATTTTAGCAATAATCCTTTTATTCCTTATATTGCATTATATTTCTGTCTTCTCTAAATATCTCGACCGTCTCCTAGGTTCCTTTTTTTCAAAAAAATTGAAATTTGTCTATCAGAAATTCTGATTGAAGTTGCACGGCAGAAGCATGACTTAATACAACCCTTTGATCCAAAATTTAGGCTTAACCATGCTGAAAACGGGAGGAGAGTGTAACTTGAAAACTGGTGCATCCAATATCAATCAATACATACAGAGGGGCGAGATGAAATTACTAAAGAGTTCTTAATCCTGAAAAGAACACTCTAATTAAACTTCTGACTCCCACTGCGGCTGCATGTGATCTATTGTCTAAGGGCTCTATTTAAACTTATCAATTCTAAGATCAAAATAATATAACTACAGTAGTTGGCTTTAAGTTAAATGGCTTTAAAATCAAAATATAGTAATACACTTCACTTATTGAATTTCACGAACATAATTTTGAAAAATGTTGCGTGCAGAAACAACTGGCAAAGTAAACCTGAGTCTTAAATGTGAAATAGAGAATTCAGGTTGTTTCTGCATTTTAGACTCAGGTTGAAATAGAGAATTCAGGTTGCGTGCAGAAACAACTGGCAAAGTAAACCTGAGTCTAAACTTTTTATGTGTTGCCACTGAGTGTTGGTTGTTCTGCTTGAATTCAACATTTAAACAATTGTGAAAACAGATGAATTTGTGAAAAGAAAATTAAAGACTTCATCTGGCCAAATTGCCTTCTCAATGAGTCCATTAACCCCTTGAACATGTATGATTTTATATTATATTGCCTTGATATTAGATCCGATTTGCATGGAAGATTTACTGTGTGATTTTTTAGTTTGGGATCTGTTTAGTTAGTTAGATATGTAGTAGTGGCTGAAGCAGGTTGAACCAGAAGGGAGGGGATGGATGTTCCATTGGGAAGAAACAATCAAACTTGATTGGAGATTTATGTATTTTAAATATCCATGATGCAATGTATTTTGTTTATATGATTTTGATGTTCTATATTAACTTTTTTATTCTTCATTTACTATTTTATTAGGGTGGAGCCACCTCTGCTAAAGCAATCCGAGAGAATGTCATTCGAAGCCACAAGTTGGATGAGTCAGACAGCGATGGAGGTGAAGATAACTTTTCGTCGGAGGTGGTAAATGCTGGTGATCATTCGATGAATGATGACTCCGAGACAGTTGAATCAAATTCATTTATAGCCACTTCCAATAGCACAAAAAAGTCCAAGAAAAAAGGTGTAAATCGAGCAAAAAAATTGAATCCGGGGTCTGGGGATCCAAATTTCTATTTGTCAGGACCCCTCTTACCATCACAGGTGCTTGTTTAGTCGTTAATCCTCAGTATTATTCGTTACCATTCTTGTCATTCTCATTAGCCTTATGATTTTGGTCTTCAGAAAGTTAATTTGGTCTTGAATTTTTGTCCGTCATTAATGACAGGTTAGAGATATTCTGAAGCTCCTGTGGGAGAAGGAAGCTTCTTTTTGCTCATACATAAGTGATATTCAGAGGCAGAAATGTAAACCTTTTGGAAATAAAACAGGCTACTCTATGTTTTTCCTAGAGACTGTTCTTGTACCCCCAATAAGATTTCGACCCCCAGCAAAAGGTGGTGATTCTGTAAGTATTAAGAAAATTTAGGTTGATCTTTGTTTCTCTTCTTTTGGTTTTTCGTAAGGTTAGATATTATTGGGGCATATAAAGCAAAATTTTGAAATATATGCCGTCTTTGTTTGAATCCGTGTAAGTATTTCTCATTGTTTAAGTTGGGAGGTGAAGCTATGAGATAATTAGTGATTATTTGGCATAATGCTTTTAATTATGCATGTACAATGCTGTCATTGTGCCAACAATCATTAACTATGTTTTTCCCTTCAGGTGATGGAGCATCCTCAAACTGTTCTACTGGGAAAGGTGCTCCAGTCAAACATTGCTTTAGGAAACGCTCATGTTAATGCTGAAAAATCGAAGATTATTAGTCGCTGGATGGAACTTCAGCAATCTATCAATGTGTATTTCGATAGCAAAACTGCTACTAGTGAGTCCATTCCTCTTGTTTTAAGCTAATGGTTGCTCATATCCTTCATAAACAATGTCTATTTCAGCCTATACTTTCATGTTGCTATTAAATTTTGTGTGCGCTTTTTGGCAGAGCACAAAGTCTTGATTTTTTTGATATATTTAACATAAAATGAGTGTAGTCTCTATAGGAAAACCCAATAAACATGATGTATATTTTTTAAATGATGGCATCACTTACTTCCCCTGTTTCGTATTCCTCCACATGCCATAGAATGCTGCTGAAAGTGTAAATTTTATGTTCACTTCTCTGGTACTCTAGGTGGAACTAGGTTTTCAGTGGATGAAGTAAAAAAGGAATAACAAATGTACAATTCTGTATTTTTTAACATTTTCCTTCGACAAAAACTTTGTTTACACTAAACTTGAAAAAAATTCCAAGTGATTTTTAAGATTTCTATTGTATTTTGTAAATAGTTATATACCTTGGTTGGTCAAAGCATTTAAGATTCAACTTGTTCTTTTGGATGCTTCACCTTTTCAACTGTTCGATCATAAATGCTTATGTAATCCGCTTCTATGGTTTTGATTTCAAAATCTATCAATTTTTATTTCCCTGAACAAGTTTTCTCGCTATAATTTAATTTCAGGTCTAGCTCAAAAAGATAGTATTGCTGGAATATGTCAGTTTCTTGAAAAGAAAGAGGGTATTTTCCGTCAGAAGATGATGGGCAAAAGAGTTAATTTTGCTTGCCGGTCTGTTATATCTCCTGATCCGTATTTGGCGGTCAATGAGATTGGAATTCCTCCATATTTTGCATTGAAATTAACCTATCCAGAGGTATATATGAGAAATTTCATTTTGTTTGCAGTATGTCAGAGTCAAGTTTCTCTTGTACCAGTGTGTGTAGAATAGATGGAATAATTAGGTTGTATTCATTTGGTTGTACTGGGATGCTGTATGTGCAAGTGTCCGCTATATCCACAGTTTGTGAACACACACTTCTGTAAATTTCTCACTAACAAGGTTAAAGGTTTACATAATTGAAATTTCTTTTTTCTTGCAAAACCCTTGGAATTTTTTATTCCCTAGACCAGAAATTCATTAGTGAAAACAGGTCGTAACCATGCATGCTTTCGAGGTAGTGACTTCAAGATCTTTTGAATTAGACTGGATTTTGAGGGTAAGCAATTGTCTGTGATACAGCATTATGTTTTTTTGCCATGCTCGGAAGCTCTTAATCTTATTATTATGCCATGTAATAACAACTTCAAAATTGAGAGCATTGTCATTAATGGCACAAAATAGAACCATGGCACAAAACAGTACCAATTATTAAAAAAATTGTGCTGCCTTCATTGTCAATGCATTTTGTTAGTTAACAAAAGTGATTGTATGCGTTCTGGTTCTCTTATCTGACCTAAATGTATTGATAATAAATTTTTATTCTTACTCTTATCCTATATGTCTCAGAGGGTTACTCCTTGGAATGCTGCAAAATTGAGGGGTGCCGTTGTTAATGGGCCCGACATCCATCCTGGAGCGACGACTTACGTTGATAGTGTTACTATTGTAAAACTTCCACCAAGCCAGAAAATGCGTGTAGCAATATCTAGAAAATTACCTTCTTCAAGAGGGGTAGTTACGCAGTCAGGGAAGTTCGATGATCTTGAGTTTGAGGGCAAGACCGTGCATCGCCACTTGCAGGATGGGGATATAGTGCTTGTTAATCGACAGGTACGTGAAATGGCCCATTTAAGAAAATTGTTGGTTTGTTCTGCTGCGTACTTGAGAATGTCAAAAGATTATTCTCTTTCGATTTAGAATTTAACTAATTGTTGTACAGTTACTGCATATGACTTTAGCTGGTATTTAATTCGATTCTTATTGTCAATGCAGCCTACACTCCACAAGCCAAGTATAATGGCTCATGTTGTTCGTGTATTGCATGGGGAAAGAACACTACGCATGCATTATGCAAATTGCAGGTTAGCTTTGTTATTTCTTGTATATCTGTTAATACGATTTCCTTTGCATTGACAATCTATTGTCTGGTACTGACATTCTATTTTTGAAATTGGCTTCAGCTCCTATAATGCTGATTTTGATGGTGATGAGATTAATGTGCATTTTCCTCAAGATGAAATTTCTCGCGCGGAAGCTTACAACATCGTAAATGCAAACGAACAGTATATCGTTCCAACAAAGGGTGATACTGTCAGAGGCTTGATTCAGGTTTCATTATCAGTCCTGAATACCAATTTGTTCTCTACCATAAATTATTGGTGATTGTGTAATTACATTTCACTGCCCGGTTAACATTTTCTTTCGTCCTGATTTTGATAATCCAGGATCATATCGTGGGTGCTGTGCTTCTTACAATGAAGAATACATTTGTTAATCGAAGTGAATTCAATCAGCTGCTTTATGGATCTGGCGTGTTTGCAAGTGGGCCCGGTTCACTGCCTAAAAACAATTCCCGTAAGGTTACGTTAATAGATACCGAAGGTGTGGTAGAGTCTGTCTTGCCTGCAATATGGAAGCCAGAGCCTCTTTGGACAGGGAAACAGGTCAAAAAATTTCAAAGGCTAATATCCATAATGATATCCATGATATAATTAATGAAATTCCTGGATTACAAATTATAATTATTAGCTCTGTTGAAGACGGTGATTGATGTACGAGACTAATCATTTTTTTGGGTGACTCTCTAGGTAATTACAGCACTGCTGAATCATATAACCCGAGGTTGTGCGCCTTTTACCGTTGAAAATCAGGGGAAGATCCCAAAGAATTATTTCTTTGGTAATAGTTATACAAGAGGAGAGGAAGATGAAGACCAAAATGCCGAACATAATTTGTTAGTTTGGAAGAATGAGCTTGTTCGCGGTGTTATTGACAAGGCTCAGTTTGGAAAGTTTGGTTTGGTACACACAGTGCAAGAGCTTTACGGGGCTAGTAGTGCTGGCATTTTTCTTTCGGCATTGAGTCGAGTATTTACATTATTTTTGCAGGTACTTCTCATTTAATTATGTGTTTCACTGAAATATTTTTTTTGTTGGGAATCTGCTCTTATTGATCTAATTAATGCTCTCTGTACCTGCCACAGATTCATGGGTTCACATGTGGGGTAGATGACCTTATTATATTACCCGATTACGATGACCAAAGGAAGGAGAAACTTGAAGGGGAAGATGTGGGTGAAGTAGTTCACTGTGATTTTGTGAAGTTCAAACCTGGGCAGATAGGTATAGTAACTTCTTTGTTTTATGTCAAGCCTTTTAATTATTTGTTTCCGAATTAGCCTTCAATTTGCTTTTAGATGGATCGGCTTTTGTACTTGTGCAATAGCTAACTGCTTAACTGTTTGATGTAGGCTGATATTTTGATTGCAGCCTTTTTCCATTTCCATGCATTATTGTGCTTGAATGTATAACACTCTTTTTTGGACATCTTACACTAAAATCATAGCATTCAAATATATTTTTTGGAACCTCAAATTGATAAATATATACATGCATATTCTTTTTTGTGGATTTCTTGCGCTCTGGATTTTGAGCTTTCTTTCTGGATGCCATTTCTGGCGTTGCATACTGTTATAGTATTTGTTGGCTATTTTTTTCTTCTTCTTTATCAATTTTGTTATTCGTTTATTTTGGTAGTGTGGACTTATTCTTTTTTTTTTTTGTTTTTTTGGTTATCTTAGGCCCTGACGAACTCCAGTTGGAAATTGAGAAAGTCATATGCACCGACAGAGAATCTGCCACTGCATCCTTGGACATGAAAATGAAAAATAAATTGAACAGTAAGCTAACTAGAGAAGGTTCTCAGATACTCAAACATTTGTTGACAGCTGGACTATTAAAACCGTTCCCAAAGAACTGCATCTCTGTTATGACAACAACAGGGGCAAAAGGAAGTACAGTAAGTTCTAATATTAATCATCGGTCATAAAATTTATACAATCTCCCTTTTATTTATCCCCCTAGGACTGGCAAGTTATTGTCAATAATAAGTTAGCTTAACCTAAAATTCACAGGAATGCTTGTTTTACTGCAAGTATATTTATTTGTCTTGACTTGGCACACTTTCATCCACATAAATATATAATTAAATTTTTTGTCCATCCATTATTTTGTTTTTTTTACCGATGTTATATTTTTTCTGTTTTCATGCTTCACATACGTGTTCTCATTTGTTTGGACAGGTTAATTTCCAGCAAATATCTGCTTATCTCGGGCAACAAGAATTGGAAGGTAAAAGGGTGCCTCGAATGGTTTCTGGAAAGACTTTGCCCTCCTTTCCACCCTGGGATTTCACTTCTAGAGCAGGTGGCTTCATCACTGATCGGTTTCTTACGGGTCTTCGACCTCAAGAGTATTACTTCCATTGCATGGCTGGTCGTGAAGGGTAAAGCTCTCTCTCTCTCTCTCTCTGAAGTCTTTCTCTTTTTCTTCTTTCCCTTTCGAGAATCTCTTTTCTTAAGTTACTTTCCTAATCATCATGGTAACACAGTTATTTCTGTAACTTGATGACACCTGACACTCGTTCAGGTACATAACCATTGACATGTAATACAAACATCAAATATCCATTCTTAAGCCCTTTATTTACTTATATAATTGTTCTTCTATTTCCTGTTACTGAAATATTTAATTCACATGATGTTGGGATATTAATGTTCGTTTCCTCTCTTGAGTTTAGTGCACGTTTTTGCTTGTATATGGCCTTCTCCAACTGTCAACTTATGTACTACTACCTTTTGCAGGTTGGTCGACACTGCCGTGAAAACATCTCGCAGTGGATATCTGCAACGTTGTCTAGTGAAAAATCTCGAGAGCCTAAAAGTTTGCTACGATTATACTGTTCGCGATGCCGATGGTTCTATAGTTCAATTTTATTATGGAGAAGATGGCATTGATGTGCACCGGACAAGTTTTCTCAATAATTTCAAGGCACTACAAGATGTAAATACCTTCTGCTCTTTGAACTACTCTATTTTCTTTGTTCTGGTCGAAACAATTTAAAAGAAAACATTTTTGTAACTGTCTCTCGGTATGGTTTTCAGAATCGAGAAACTATTTGCCAGAAGTTTCAACATAAGCGCGAGTTCAATAGTTACATCAAAAAATTGCCCGAAGGGCTAGAAGAAGAAGCCAAGCGCTTTATCCAGGAGACGCAAAACAAGTCATTGGCAAAACAGAGTACAAGTGCAGGTGAGGGCCCACATAGTAGCCGTAAGGCAAGAAAGAAGGAAAAACTATTGAAGAAAGAAAAGGCAGCTGCTGCATATGAGCAAGACGCGTTTTTAGAGTTGGTGAAGCAAAAATATCTATCGAGCCTCGCGCAAGCAGGAGAACCAGTAGGCGTTATTGCTGCTCAGTCCGTAGGCGAGCCATCAACTCAGATGACGTAAGCATCTTTTATCTGCTGTCTTAATAGATAATTGTTTTTCCTTTTTTCAGATCGGCCCAGCCTGAACTGTACATAGTCTATAGATAATAAGATCAGTTATTGCTAAATCTTATGTATTACTTTACTTTCGAGAAAACCTCTAAAATCTAGAATTTTTAATATTTTCTCGTGGTTGCTTTGATATTATATGTAGTCCCAAAATAACCTTCAACATCTGTTTGGAAGCATTAAAGCTTGATTCTGGTTTTCACAATTGATTATATGCTCTCTAGGTTCTCGTCTGGAGGATGTTACCATTTATAGTTAAAAAAACGAATTTCCTTCATCGAATGCAACTTAACTAATTTTATACTTTAATTATTTACAGGCTCAATACTTTTCATCTTGCTGGTCGTGGAGAAATGAATGTCACACTTGGTATTCCACGTCTCCAGGAGATTTTGATGTCTGCATCAGAAGTTATCAAAACTCCCCTTTTGACGTGCCCATTCTCGCAATGGAGATCCAAGTAAGTTTGTTACAATTTTTACGTTTGCATTGTTAAAGATGCATAATAAAGAACTTTTTGGTTTTGAACCATTTTTTCAACTGTTAAAACCATAGAATAATATTATTATATTCCATTGCAGGCGTGAAGTCGTATCTCTTGTTTCACACGTGAAGAAGGTCTCCGTAGCAGATTTGATAGAGAACATGGAAGTTCAGCTCTCAGTCAACCACAAAACCGCAGCTAGAGTTTACAAGTTGAAAATGACGTTAAAAGACACCGAGTTTGTGTCGTTGGAAAACATGCACGAAACCCTAAAAACCACGTTTTTAGGAGAGTTGGAGGATGCAATCGAGAATCACGTGTTATATCTTTCAAGACTCAGTGGCATAAAAAATTTCGCATCTAATCCGAAACCAAAATCATCAAATGAAGCTGACGAGGATGAGTCTGGTTTGGGAACAGAAAATGCTGGTGTCAACGATGATGACGACGATGACGACGATGACAAGGGCGATGATCTCGGTTCGGATGTACAAAAGAGAAAGCAACAAGCGACGGATGATATGGATTACGAGGATGGATCGGATGGGGGCGCTGCTGAAGATGATGACTCCGATCTGGAGAAAGGGAAAAGTGATGTGGAAAATCTTGAGGAAGATGAAACGGGAAAAGATGAGGAATCCGAGCACACTGATGACAAGGATGAGGCTTCTAATGTGCAAAATGAAGATGAGGCTATTTCGGAAGGTACTAAATCAAGTGTTGGGAGCAGCAAAGGAAAAACATCATTTGACAAGTCGAGCGTAGAATTGAAGGGTAAAAAAATACGCAGGGCCTTTTATATGGTAGTTAAAGGAACCAAGTTCGAAGTCCACTTCGAATTTCATGAAGAACCTCATATGTTGATCGCACAGGTATTCTTTCTTTTTTCCCCTCCCCCTTAATTTCACACTTTTTTAATGATGTTTTAGTAGTTAAATCACTTCGATATGTCTTTTTCGAAAAAAAAAAAAGAAATTTCATTATTATTCATTTTTAATAGACGAACATGTTTGTTCATTCTTTTTTAACACCTTCGTTAAAGAGACATTTTGTTTCCACCTTTGTGTACCCAATAAAATAGATATTTTGGCAATTGGTACATGTTTTTTTAAACCATGTGATTCTTTTTTTCGCGTACAGCTTGCACAAAAAACCTCAAAGAAGGTGTACATCAGGAAATCTGGAAAAGTCAGCCAATGCAAAATGGTGTCATACGACCCGGATGAGAAAACCGTAATCTGGGACAACAGCAAGAAACCAAAGAGAGGAGAATCGAAGTCCGAAGAAGAAGACACGTCTTACTGGGCAGTAAAAGCATCGGGAGTTGATTTCAAGTCATTCTGGGAAATGCACGATGACCTAGATCTCAGCCGTTTATACTCCAACAATATTCATGCTATGCTGACTACATACGGAGTGGAAGCAGCCAGAGCAACTATCATACGAGAGGTGAAGCACGTGTTCGATATTTATGGGGTGAAGATCGATTACAGACATTTGAGCTTGATTGCAGACCACATGACACACACCGGTTCGTATTTGCCCATGAGCAGACACGGCAGCATTTCCGAGTCTCTGTCGCCATTCTTAAAGATGTCATTCGAGACTGCTTCAAAGTTTATTGTCGAAGCAGCTTCACATGGGCTTACTGACAAGCTGGACACACCTTCGTCGAGAATTTGCCTGGGCTTGCCTGTGAAGATGGGTACCGGTTCTTTTGACGTGATGCAGCAGTTGGATCTTTGATTTTGGAATTATTTTTTTAAATTTTTTGTCGCCCATTGTTTTTGTTTAGCTTTGAGGAAAAAAAATATTCGTATATAGGTCTTCGAAATATTCTCGTTTTTGTCATGTTTTATTAATTTACAACATGCATGTAAATCGAGATGTCATCAATTTCATGCATGAAACGGAGGTGAATTAACAGATAATGAGAAACTATATGTCATCTATTAGCTTGCCGAGATTCAAATTAATGTAGTCCCGTAACGAAACTCGAAATTCACAATTATCTGTTATTAAAACAAAATTAATTATCAACTGACCAAACGATACCTAGTCTCTACTATTAGAGTAGCTGTTTCGAATTCGAATAAACGCTTAAAAAAAATCTTTAAGGGTGATTACTCAATTTTGTAGGTGATTATTAATACAAAAAATACTGTCAAATTAAATTAGTAATATTATAAAAAAAGTATATACATATTTAATATCAAATTATACCACAAGCAAATTGGGCCTGTATTTTCACCTAACCAGGTTTGCGCAAAATCCAACACATCAATTTACGGGCCTTATGTCCATATAATGGGCCCGGCCCATATTTCTTACCATAAATCTCACCACTCACAGTTTCTTCACCTCCATCAAAACCCTAAACCCTAGTTACCCTGCAACCTTCCGCCTCCTATAAACCTCAACTTTCCCCCATTTCCCTTTTTCTATTTTACCAGACAAACCCTAACCCTAAAACTCCCACCCCCCACCACCGCCATGGCCGGCCTTCAGCCACCTCACTCCGACAGTTCGAAGAAGAAGAAGAGCAACAAGTCCACCGGCGAAGACGAAGCCAAAGACGGCGGCGATTTCCTGATCAAGCCGCAGAGCTTCACCCCTTCCATCGACACCTCCCAATGGCCGATTCTGCTGAAAAACTACGACAAACTGAATGTCCGTACCGGCCACTACACCCCACTCCCCTGCGGCTACTCCCCCCTGAAACGCCCCATCGCCGAGTACATCAAGTACGGCGTCATGAATCTCGACAAGCCGGCGAATCCTTCCTCCCACGAAGTAGTCGCCTGGATTAAGCGAATTCTCCGCGTCGAGAAAACCGGCCACTCCGGTACCCTCGACCCGAAAGTCACCGGCAACTTGATCGTCTGCATCGACAGAGCCACCCGTTTGGTGAAATCTCAGCAAGGCGCGGGGAAGGAGTACGTCTGCATTGCCCGGCTCCACTCGAAGGTTCCCGAAGTTTCGAAGGTCGCCAGAGCACTCGAAACCCTAACCGGTGCGGTTTTCCAGCGCCCTCCTCTGATTTCCGCCGTCAAGAGGCAGCTCAGGATCAGAACTATTTACGAAAGTAAGCTTCTCGAATACGATGCCGATAAGCATTTAGTTGTTTTCTGGATTTCGTGTGAGGCGGGTACTTATGTTAGGACAATGTGTGTGCATTTGGGGCTTCTGTTGGGCGTTGGGTCCCACATGCAGGAGCTTCGTAGGGTTCGATCGGGTATTTTAGGAGAGAAGGATAACATGGTTACTATGCATGATGTCATGGATGGGCAGTGGGTTTACGATAACTATAGGGACGAGACTTATCTCAGGAGGGTTATTATGCCGTTGGAGGTTATCTTGACTAGTTATAAACGGCTTGTGGTGAAAGATTCCGCGGTGAATGCTATCTGTTACGGTGCGAAGCTTATGATTCCTGGGTTGTTGAGGTTTGAGAATGATATCGAGGTTGGTGAGGAAGTTGTGCTTATGACGACAAAGGGGGAGGCGATTGCGCTCGGAATTGCGGAGATGACGACTGCGGTTATTGCTACTTGTGACCATGGTACCGTGGCGAAGATTAAGAGGGTTGTTATGGATAGGGACACTTATCCTAGGAAATGGGGGTTGGGTCCGAGAGCTTCGATGAAGAAGAAGCTTATTGCTGATGGGAAGTTGGATAAGCGTGGGAAACCAAACGAGGCTACACCGGCTGAGTGGTTGAGGAATGTGGTTTTGCCCACCGGAGGTGATTCTGTGGTTGCTAGTCTTGCAGCTTCTGTGGAGGTGCCGCCGCCGCCGCCTGCTAGTGTTGAGAACGTGGAGGGTGCTTCGGTTGAGAAGAAGAAAAAGAAGAAAGATAAGAAAGAGAAGGAAACGGTGGAGGAAGTGGAGGGGCGAAAGCGTAAATTGGAGGTTGTTGATGGTGGCAGTCCTGCACCGGAGGCTGTTGGTAAGAAATCGAAGGTGGAGAAGGCTGAAGAAGTTGTGGAGCCGGAGAGCAAAGAGAAGAAAAAGAAGAAGAAGAAAGAGAGTGTTGAAGAAGATGCTGCTGCGGCTGCTGACGGTGAGAAATCATCGAAGAAGAAGGATAAGAAGAAAGAAGAAGCTGTGGTGGTACCCGATGAGGAGAAATCGGACAAGAAGAAGAAAAGCAAGAAGGATAAGAATGCAGAAAATGGCGACGCTGCTTTGCCGGTGGTTGAAAGTGACGACGGAGCAAAGAAAAGTGATAAGAAAAAGGATAAGAAAAAGAAGCAAAAAGAGTAGTCGATTTGTGCATGTTTGTTATCTGCATAATAGTGTAGAATCGAAGCTTCTTTCTGTACCTTCGGCTTTTCGTCTTCATGAACTTGGTTTAGAACAATATGTTAGTTTTCGATTTTTGTTTTTTTCTTTTTTACTTTTATGTTTGGTTATTATGTTTCTTTAAGGTTTTGTACTTTATTATGATGATTCAAATGTTTTTGTTTGAATTTCTAAGTAATATTAACTTATTTTATTTATTTTCTTTTTAAAATGTTTGATGCTAAGTGTTTAAGTATTTATCCATATTTTCTTGTACACTTAATATTGATGATGATGATGATGACAATATGATTAAGGTTTTGTCAAATGTTTCGTGTTTAATAATACGTTCTTTAATCATTCTTATATAACAATTTTATATCCAATTTCTCTAGTGATGCTTAAAAGAAAGTTTGATAGTAATTGACCCAGCTCTGAAACACACTAATTGATAGTTAAAATTTGACTTTGGTCTAAATGTTCTTTGCCCTTCAAAGTCAAAAGTCTGCTTAGTTCAAATTTAGTGGAATATTCTAGATTTTCTATCAATTATAAGTCTTCTTACATGTTCATTTTCGCGGTGTCAAATTTATTGAAAACTTCTAATTATGTGGAATATTCTCCAATTTGTACCTGTTTTACCACATTCGAGCTGCACGTATTGAAACAAAATGATCATAAGATGGGTTGTAAATATGAGATTGTGGTGCATCAGAAACTGCATTTTTGCACAAAACGAGTACAAACTAGAGAAGATTCCTCCACGAAATCTTGAAGATTTTGTTGAATTTGACACCATTATGGTGAACATGTAAGAAAATTTATAGTTAAGATTTGGTTGCAATTACCCAAACATCAGGGTGTTTTTTGTAATTTGATCTTACTTTAAGAGTGACCTTGATATATGCTTTAAGCAACTATTCAAAGAGTAAGTTGAAAAAAAAAAAGAAAAGAAAATGAAGAGTAATACAACTTTTATTAAGAAATTATGTGGAAATTAGTGTCAAAATGCAATGTGGATTAAATTTGGAATTTATAAGTTTATTTACTAAAACAACTCTCTTTGTACTAAAGGCGTGGAAACCAAAACACGATTCAGCGAAAGTTGCAATTAAAAGACCCGGAGAATCATATAACCCCTTTTCCTTGCTAGGGTTTTTGCAGAAGAAAAAACGAGCGCAAGAAATAATTCTCAGCAAGCAGAGCCCCCATCAATCAAAGCAGCGGCAGCCATGGCGAGCACGAAAGTCCAGAGGATTATGACCCAACCCATCAACCTGATCTTCAGGTTTCTTCAGAGCAAAGCCCGCATTCAGATATGGCTTTTCGAGCAGAAGGATGTCAGGATTGAAGGCCGAATTATTGGGTTCGACGAGTACATGAATTTGGTTTTGGACGAGGCAGAGGAGGTCAATGTCAAGAAGAACACCAGGAAGGAACTTGGCCGGATTTTGTTGAAAGGGGATAACATCACTCTCATGATGAATACTGGCAAGTGATGCTTGGGATTCAGGTACTGTAGGCTATTTCTCTCTTATTTTGTCGTGGATTTGGTTTTTTTCTGTATCTTGAACTGAAAATTTGCTTGGGTTTATGCTTTTTCTTTTGTGTTGTTTGGGAGATTTGATTTGGTATCTAAACTGTTTGATGAAATGTCTCTGTGAAATACTGATATGCCTTTATTCAATGTGGTATGTTTTTTTTTATTGGGGGATTTGATTTGGTATATAAACTGTTTGATGAAATGTCTCTGAAATACTGATATGTCTTCAATCAATGTTATGTTTTTTTTTGGGGGGATTTGATTTGGTATATAATATGTTTGATGAAATGTCTCTGTGAAATATTGATATGCCTTTATTCAATGTGATATGGTTAACTGCTAAATAATTGGGGAGGAGGGCTTGGGATGAGGGTTACTTCTTACTGGCGAATTCATTGCTATTATGAAGAAGCTTTTGGGGGTTATAATTGGGTGCCTTGATTCTTTGCAAGACTTTAATTTTTGTCTGAGCTATTTATAGGATTGTGAATATTGGTGTTGTTTATATAGAGTATAGTATGACGGGCGATTTTAAATTCGGTGGGAAAAAAGTACCAAAGATTAATATGTACCGTAGATACGCACACAACTGTAAGTTAAGGCCATTTGTGGTTGTCAAATAGACTCTGAATTTTCACGCCTTCGCATCTTTTACAAATTTCGAGTGTCACAACAGGAGTTCATCTTCAGTCATGAAATAAATCTGCTAGCATGAGTTTTTAATCCCCAAATGCTTTTCGACTGATCACTAGGGCCTCGTTTGGTTGGGTAGATTAGCCATGGTTAACTAAATAATAGGACTTTGTTTGATGTTTGGTATCCCCAATAACTTGCCGGGTCGACTCGCAAATATTATGTTATCATGGCTTATCTTGCCTTCTAGACATGTTTTTCATTGGATTATCGAAGATCCAATAATATAATTGAATTTCATTAGATTATTTAATCTTATCTTGGCAACAAAACGAGGCCTAACTGAATCTTGTCTAACATTTCCCTAGATTTGACTTGGCTTTATTGTTGTTATTTTTGCAGGCTATAATTTTGTTGATTGAGTCAAGGATGAGGCTGGCTTCATCGTGGTTCAATCAGATTACTGGCAAGAATTCGTATAAATTCAACTCCTTTAGAATCTATTCTCTCTTAGACAGTTGTTTTCTATTCCGTTAATGTAATGTCTCCCCTTATCCTGCTTTTATTATGTATGCTAATGTTGTGTATGAAGAATTCCTTCTGCTTGAAATCGGATATCAGGTAAATTAGAAATGTTTTTTTCTCATGGTCGTTTGAGACAGATGAACATGTCGGGAGATTTGAATTTCTCTTTATTATATTAGAAAAAAAGTATCACGGTTATCTCCAATTAATCCGAGAGGAATTTGCTAGGGTTTCTGTGATGCATTTCTTTCTTCACGTTTGCAGGTACGAACGAAATAACACTAGCTCGTAAGTTTATTGCATGAAATCATTTTAGCTGCCTAACTGAAGAGTTAGGATTTACATCAATCATTAATTCAAACCAATCTTTTTTCGCATGAAGAATTATGGGATGTTTGTCTGTTTACTACATAAATTACGTAGTAAATGTTTTCCATATTGTTCGAAACATATCACATTTTTTTAGAATAAATGAAATCATCACATCTTCGTTTTTAGCTCTAGTATCACATGGCTTGTTTTGTTCATTCATATTGTATTTATGGTCAAAGTGCTTCTTGTTTTGTATGCTTGTTATTGGTCAAAGTACAATTTTTTTTTTCCGGATCGACTTTGTGCTCGATATTCAACTCGTATTCGTTCGAGGCTCGAAACTGGCGGAGCTATTATAGTGGCGAAAATCGCAACTGCGATACTTACTGCATTCGCACATTAATGCTAATGAAAAATCAATTATATTAACGAAAAAGATTTGTTTTTTTTTCCTGAGGTTTTCGTCTGTTTTGAATATCATGCTAACTTTTGAATGTTTTTCTAGATAAATTAATTTACAATTATGACATTGTGGTTTAGACAGGATTTAATTTATTTGGTAGAATACCTAATACCTAACAGAGAATGTAACAAGTGAAGAAGATTTATTAACTTAGATATTTGAAATTCAAGAACTTGAGTTGAAACGCACTCCCTCCGTTTTCTAAAGTCGTGTTTAAGGTCGATGCACACCAAAGTAAGCTATTAAATACCCTTAAATTTATGGTGAAATTCGTAGGCTATTTACTTCATTTACATGATGGTAAAATTGATAATAAAAAATGAAAAATCTTATTCGATAATTTTTTTTAATAAATAAAATGCCACTTAAAAAGAAATGGAGAAAGCGACGAGAGATATGTGAATGCAGTCGAGGGTTTACCCGAAAAGGAATATATGCAGGGGCGAGTCCACCCTTAGGCAAGGGTGGACTCAAGCCCACCCTCAATTTACAAAATTCCCCTATATTATACTATATATCTATTTAGCCCACCCAAATTTTATTAATTAGACCACCCAAAATTTCAATTAATGCAAAAGAAATCCCATTTTTTTTATTAATTAGCCCACTCAAAATCCAAATTAACTCAAAAAAAGTCATAAATTTTATTAATTAGCCCACCCAAAATTCAAATTAATGCAAAAAAAAACTCTGAAATTTGTTTTTATTTTTATTTTTTTTCGTTTCTTCTTTTCCTATTTTCTGATTTTATCAGCAAAAAATCGTAAAAAAAATTCGGGGGCGCTGCCCCCGAACCCCCAAAAAATTTAAGCCCACCCTCTACGCAATTCCTGGACTCGCCACTGAATATATGAATGCATTAATGGATTTGCGCCCGAAAAAATAAAAGATAGAAAAAGGGGTAATATTTACGAAAAATGAGTAATTGACTAAACCATATGTTATTACATTAAGGAATGTAGTCAAATTAATTAGTCAAACATAACACTAATTCGTATACGTTTCCAAGGTAATAATTAAAAAGCAAAACTTTGAAAATTGAGTTATATGCAAAGTTTCTTTGAAAATCGAAAGTATATCTCAAATGAAGCAGATGCTTCATTCAGTTGACACAAGCATATTATATGTACCTGAATAGATCATCACATTGCTTTATTATAATTATTACTCATAAATCGGAATGGAAAAAAATGTTCCAAATCGGAAAATTCTCGGATCAGAATCTACAAAATTCAGAATTTCAATTCTTTTAGTTGCCAATAATATAAAATACATAAATAATAATATTATAAGTGTAATTTTCGTGACAAAATAAACAAAAGTCTTGAAATTAAAATCATTTTATTCTAATTTTATTCAAAAATTAGGACAATTTGAAGTGTCAATTTTGAAATGAAAAATATTAATAAAAAATATTCGAATTGAAATCAACGAAATTCGAATATTTTGTTCCAATTTCCACACATATCCAAACCTCAAACTATATATATAAATATATATATATATATATATATATATATATATATATATATATATATATATATA